AAAAAAAAAAATACAGCCACCAATTTATTTCTAGGTTTTAAAAACTTGTTGCTGATACTTAGGAGGCAAAAATGCTAATTATATATTAATCTCATTAGTGATAAATCTCATTCAATGAAATGTCTATAAACTCTTCATGTGCCAAAATTAAATGTAATCTGCTACAAATGAAAGAAAGTATCCTTATTTCAAAAATTTTATCTGTCACTATTTTGTTCAAGACCATACAAAAATTGGACTAATAAATTACAGGGTGCTTCATACCTCCATAAATGCTTACTAATATTATCACTGTTGTTCTCCACAGATTTTCATTAACAGAGTCTCATTCCATATCCAGTGTGCACCTTTCCCAGAAACGGTTAAGAGCTTAGTGTTTGGAATTACCTTGGGTGGTGAAGTTGAAGAGTGCAGGTGTGTCTCGCCCATTTGGTAGTTTGACATTTGGGTCCCTCAGTTCATCAAAAAATGAATGTGCACAAGCTTCCAGTGGTGTCAATCGGGCAGTTGGTGTATACTCCAGCAGACGGCTACACAATGCAATGGCCTCCGGTGGAGTTCGGGGTCGGAAGACCTGCAGTACAAAAAGAGGAAAGAACAATTATTATTTTATTATTAAAAATCTAAGCAAATAGCTCTCTGAGTAATGAGTTAATTCCCACCTGTACAAAAACATGGTTGCATTTTAGAAAGGAACCTTGTAGGATAAAAAAAGTTAACTGCATATGATTTGCCACACTGGGGTAAACTGCTAATTTTAAAGACTATATGAGAAAAGCTCAGAGAAAAATCTACATAAGCTAAACATAAAACAATATAATTAAAAATGCATATAAAATATATCAGGCATATGGGAAAGGCTGAGTTTTGGAGGCAAGCACAACAAAAAGAGCATTAAAAAAAATCTTCAAAGTTTTGACTGCTGTGGCAGTAAATAAAAGATTGCCTCTCTGGTGTCAACTGTTGATAATGGATGGCACTATTCAAATTAAGTAATCAATAATTTTCCTAAAAAGAAAGAAAAGCTGTTATTCTAGGTCTTCTAATGCTAATAATTGGTATTATTTTCTCAATATACAGAGCCTATCATTTACTTTGACAAAATGATTGACGTTTTCTTCAAGTAACTGTTATCATGAATGTGGCCAGATCACTCTCATTTGAATTAATTTGAATGAATATTCTAGGGCTTTTTTCAGGAGCGGATATTGTCTTTTTCATTAAAAGCTACAAAAAAAAAAAAAAGGTCACAGAAATAGGAATCTAAAGGCTATATTGAAATAAAATRTAATTAACTTGATTAAAAGAAGAGATAGCTTTCTACTCATCAATGTCTTAAAATGAATCAAAACATAAAATTATGAAAATATATTTCAACCTAAGGTATGGCCAGTTAAAGGGTAAAGAAGGAGTAGAAATAAACAGAAATGAAATGTCCAAAAGCCTCTGAAATCAAATAAAAATGAAACATACAACTAAAATAAAAGTTGTGGTGCAGAAATATAAAGAAAAACAGACATGCATAAATGGAGGGCAATAGACCCATAAATGAGGAAAGGACATGCAGAGGTGATASGGCATAAGGCATGAAGGACACTGGGAGGCTAAGATTTCCTAATGAGAATGGCTCATATAACATCTGGATGTTCACTTAGGCCAAACGTAGGAGAATTAGTTACAACCAGAGTTCTTTAAATATTTAAAAGAATAAGAATACTTTCTACAAAACCACTGAAAACTGGTTGTTGTTGAGTTTCTTTCTTTCTTTTTTACCTTTCTCTTGTTTTTGCTTTTGTTTTCACATAGTTTGTTACTGAAAGATTATTTTCCATGGGAATTGAGAGATTGAGTTGATAAGGATCTTAGAAATTAATTCAGATCTTTAAAGGTCTTAGTCAATATTGGCTATGATAGAAAGCCCTTTGTATGGTCAAAAACAGACTTGTCTTTATTTCTGAGAATTTTGATTGTCTCCATCAAAGAAACCTTAAAGCGATCGTATTATTTAAAATGTTTAGATCTTCCACTATTATTTGCCATTTTTCCCTCTCTTGCTTTAAGAGACACGAATATGACAATAATCAAATCCAGAACGCAAAATAAAAATGGTCAGAGGAAAAACTCAGAAAATTTATCATAAAAATATTAAACACTACTGACATATTTTATTCCTGAGGGCAGTTTGAATCTACTTGACAGTATATAGATTAGTTTGCTAGCTAATCCAAAATGCTTCGGTACCAATAATAGTGTCATATAACTAGAATTAAACACAGTAACAAAAACTAAATATCTCTAAACTTCAACTATAGGTAACTAGGTGGTGAGTTATATAAAATAAAAAATTCATATTTTAATAACAAACTCCTATTTATTATCTTTATCTTGTTAAAGGTATAAATAAACCAGTACTGTAAGCTTATTTCTGATTATGTTTAAAAAGCCCCTAGCCCCTGGTATTTTACTGGCTTTGAGTGATTACCCATTTTAGTTCTAAGACATATATTAGCTTATGTTGTCAGAAATCCTAACTAATGGAGTTAAAGAGCTAAAAATAATACAGATAAGAAGTAATTCCAAGAACGTACATTAAAAATCAAGATTTAACCTTTCTTTTTTTWAAAAAATATCTGCTGTACTTTAAATCCTTTGAGAGATTTTTCATAAGAACAACCCTGGTTCAGTAGATAAAGGTTAGTGGAATAAAGGTTAGTGGGAAATTATGTGGGGTCAAAACCCAGTATCTTTCAGAGTTTAGATTTCTGACCATAATATAGGATGTGATAGTATGCAATTTTCAAAAATTACTGTACAAATTAGAAACTAGCTCTTCTGAATTTCCTTTGTGTCTAAAGTAAAGGAAACCAGTAACTACTAAAATTTGGCTTTTAATAAATAAGTTTCGACTGCTACATCATTTCTTACTCACTGAAATAGCTCAATACTTAAGAACCTTTGGTTTCATGAATCTTCATCAATGTTTATTCTTATAAGAATAATAATTTTAAAACTTTACAATTTCTGTCAATGGTTCACCTAGGAGACTGACAATCTAAAAATGTAACAAGAAAATCTATACCATACAATGAATAAAAACAGAAATCATAGCTTCCTACATTTTTACTAGCACATTTCAAGAATAAACAATTGTTTAGCCTTTCAAAAAATGCACCCCCCCACCCAAGTTTTATAGACCTGCCCTGTAAATTTTTTTGGGAAAAAAAATAAAGTACATACCCGCACTCCTGAGGTGAAATGTCCTGTTCCTGACGAATCCTAAAGATGATAATGCAGTGAAATAATCCAAACAGGGAAGTCAATCCAAAAGAGAATAGTCCAGCAAGGAAAAATATATCCAATGTTATAAGAAATCCATGGTGTAGGGGGACACAGAAAATGTTTATACAGTTATAAACTTTAAACATTAGTCTCCACAGTAGCAAGTCCAAATTTTAAAAATTATTTCACCACAGTGTATGCAAAAAATTTTTTTGATTGTGCAATGGTGAGGCACAGTAAAGAAACATTTAAATTTTATTTTATCATGTTCCAATGCCAGTGTGTTTATTAAAAAAATACAAAACCAAAAAAAGTTAAAATCAAAATGAAATCTAGAAGTAAAGTTCCCAAAGTAAAGTGGTCTTCTACGACCTGGATTTATCATCCATAGACATGGCTGGGAGGGGGCATATTAGCCTGCTTTTAAAGATATATGTTCCCAATATACTAATTTTTCTCAATTAATGTGTCCCAGTTACACAGTATAAACATTTTTTTGCTAAGTTATTAGTTACAAGAGAAATGTATTAAATATATTTAATTTATATTACTATAGATTTCAAGCCAGATATTTTCAATTTGTGTGAGCTAAGAAGGATCAGGCCACCGCGGATTATTCTCCAGTTTTGGATTGACTTCCCTGCTAAAAGATGTTATTTGCTGACAGTCTCATTATTTTAGGATTCTTCAGGAAATTGACATATCATCTCAGGAGTGCGGGTATAAACTTACTTTGTGTATTGTGGGCTCTGCCCCCTCATACCCTTGCACCCATTACTTAAGAAAAATAAATAGAGAACATTTCTTTCCTTTTTGGAAAAACTCACTGAAAAAAAAAAATCCTAAATCTTTGAGCACTACAAATTCAACAACAGTTCCATCTGCAAATATGCCCAATTCACCCACCAAAAGCTAAACAAAAATGTATACAATAAACAATACAACTAAGGGACAGTCACAGTTACAGGTGACATGCATAGTAATGTACACCAACACCTAGGCACAACGGAGCCAAATATATAAGGGAGGTAGCAGGGTCTATTATGTCTAGGCATTGAGAACAAACAAACAAACAAAAAAAGGGCAGAACTCACCAGTAGCTGTGAACACCCTTGGCTATTCTAAGAGAATGTAACATTCTTTTAGGATAGTTTCCAGTGGGGGAATTAAATATTTTGCAAAATAAATAATCCGCGGATTACTTTTAGTCTGCAGACTAAAATTTAGTACATGGATTAAAATCCAGCCCATCAGAATAAAAAAAATCTCAAAACAACCAYGTGGACAAAAATAGAAAACCATATTTAAAAAAAACTGATAGCACAAAGTAAAACTGAACTGGGCCAACTAATAATTAGTGCGCAGACTAAATATGGCCAGCCAAGTATGCAGCAAGGCCATGGAGACCCCAAAACATCCCTTTAAAAACTAACAACAAAAGTAGTAAAATGAAATAAAACAAAGCAAAAACAAAAGGGAGGGGGGTAAGGGGGGAAGAAAAGGAAAGAAAGCAAAAATAAAGAAAAGAGGAAAAATTGAAAAGAACTAAACAAACCACTGACATGAACTTTTAAAGTGATTCAAATACTACCTCACCTATGCAGCAACATATTAAATTGAAATAAATATCAACTCTCATCACAATTACTAGACCACAGAAGAACCTAACAGAAAAAAAGTTTTTTTCAAAAAGGAAGTCTCTGTGGTATTGATCAAATGCAAACAAATCCTTAAATAAAGAATTATTCAAAATAAATTTGCATTTGGAAAACTCAAAAATGACAGAGGCAATTTTTTTCTCTATATGTTTTAGAACATACTTTGGCCATCGAAGTTCAACCTACAGCTAATTGTTAGGACTAAATCAAAAGCCCTTTAAAATGGACATTTATGAACAATCATATGCAACCATATCAAGGCCTATAGTTAAGCTGCTTCTCTTGGCATCAGCTTTTACCAACTCTTGTACTATGCAGCCAATCAGAGCAATATAAAAATGTCTACTTTTTATGGTTATGGACAGTAACAATTAATTTCATAGAATATAGACAAATACTATGAYTGTTCCACACAGCTTCTTCTCACTTTTCTGGTCATACACAAAATTTAAAAACTCCTAATTTTGAAAACTGATAAAAATATTCCTAAAGAGCAATTCCAATATTGGCTATCAAGTAATCTATTAATCATCTAAAATTATTTGTAATTTGTAACCCTAAATATAGGATTAGAAGTGAGACAATATATGGATCTGTTGAATGACTGTATATATTAATTAAGTATGAAAATTAAGTC